CTATAAAAATTATTATTTAAAACGAAAAAGACGTAATATAATTATATTTAAATAATAAATGAATTTAATAAGTTTTTAAAATAGCTTAAACTTATAAAAAAGACTTTTTTCTAATTAAAATTGATAATATATATAAAATAGCAATCTTTATATTTAGTATTTATAAAATCTAATTAGAATTTATAGCTGAATTTAGCGCTAAGAATAAGTTTACTAGCGTTATTAAAGTATTTTAAACATCTAAAAAAGAGAAACCTATAAATTTAATAATAGTTTATTTAATAATAATAGAAAATATTTAGCGAGCTTTTAATAAACGAATAGTTAAAGTTAAGAGTAATATCGCTTTTATTAGCGAGTATTATAAACTCTAATAGTTATAAAAATACTATAATTATAGTAAATATAGTTATTATTAAGCTAAATACAGCTAATTATTTAAATATAATAAATGCGCTATAAACTATAAAATTAATATATATAAAATTACTGTATTAAAGTATACAATATATAATACACTATATATAGCTATAAATACTAAGTATTTAATATATTATAATAAGATGAATAAAATCTAAAGCGGAAATTAACTTATTAATTAGCTTAATTAAAGCAAAAATAAGAAATAATAAACTAATTATTTCGTAATATTAGTACTAGACTATTATAACTTCTTCTATTAAATAAAAGAGTTTAATATACTATACGTTTAATCCCTTTTTTATATTTATAAAAACGTCTCGTTTATTTAATTTCTTATAATATTTTTAAATATAATAATAAGAGTTATTACTTTTTAAATAGAGCACATTTTTATTATATTAATTTATATTTCAAGCTGTAGTCGATATGCCTTTTTTAAATAGAATTTCAAAGAGGTTATTATTATTAAACTAACTATTTTAAGTGATATTCTCTATAAAGCTAAAGTAAAATATAAAGGAAACTTCTCTATTATAATAAATAGCAACTTCAATTATTATAATTCCGTATAAAGCGGAATTAATATATTATAATTTTAATATATAAAAGAAAGTAAGCTAGTACTCTAATAAATATATTAATATAATACTTTCTCTACTTTTCTAAATAGTATAATTACTTTTTTTTAAAGCTAATTTAAAACTACTATTAATATTATACTAGTCTTTAATCTATTTAAAAACTAAATTATAAAATACAATATTTATTAAATATAATTTCTAGAAATAAATTAAAAAGAAGTAATTAAAAATCTCGAATTATAGAAACTATTAATTACTACTATTAATAATTGCATTTAGCTCGATTAAGTAATTACTAAAATCTAGAATAAAGTAAGTTAATATATTTACAATTATAGCTTAATAATTAAAGAGTCTTTATATATAAAAGTATAGTAGAATAGCGAGCTTACTGACTTTTATAATAAATATACTTAATATTAAAACTAGATTAATACTCTAAAAGCTATGAAAAGCAATAGGAAAAAAAGCTGCTATATAATTAAATAAGTTAAATACTGATTTTATAGAAGTATTTATAATAAAAAGTAATTTTATTAAAATAACTTTTTAGCGTAAATAGACAATATTTAGAAAGCTATAAAGTACTCTAATTTATAATTATTAGCGTTTAGTAATATTTTTACTATAATTATTAATAATAAAAGCCGAATAATAAAGCTTAAAAATAATAAAGCTAAAGCAATTAAGTTGCTTTAATACTTTTTTTTATTAGTTTTAGAAAAAAAAAAAAAAGACGTTTTGAACTTAATTATAAAATATATCAATAATTCAAATATGTTTATTAAAGAAGTAACTAGAATTATTACTAAAATAATCTTATATAAAGCTTTAAAAATAGATAGTATTTTAAATATTTATAAAAACGTTTTTAATCGATTTTAAATAACTAAATTACAAAAATCTTTCATACGTTATATTAATTAAAATATATATTTACTATATAGAAAATAGCGCGTATTTTACTATTATAAAAGCTAGGAAAATTAAACTATTAAATAATAAAAGCATATTGCTTTATTTTTCTTTTAGCTATATTAAATAAGCTTATAAAACTAGTACTAGTATAAAGGATATTATATTAAATAGAGACTTTTAATCTTTTTTTAAAGATTTAATTTAAAACTAGGCTGAGACAATTATATAATTAAGTATTACTCCTTTTTATTAAACAAATCTTTAAAGCATAATAATAAAAGAAAGTACTCTTTTTTATTAATTTTAATATAAAAAGAGTATATAATAGCGTTCTTTATTAAGTCCTTACTAATTAATTACGTATAAAAGAAATTCTAGCTTATATAATTATATAAATTAATTTATTTTATACTGACTAGCTTATTATAATACTAGTTAATAAAATAAAATTAAGTTAAGTTATACTTATTAAGTCTAGTTTTTTATAAAGATTTATACTAGCTTTAATTCTATATATTTTTTTAATGCTTTTTTAATAAAGAAGAAAATCAATAATAAAAGAAGCAATATAGAATTTATAAATAATTATACTTAATAAGTAATTTTAAAGTTAATAAAAAGAAATATATTAATATTAAATAATAAAGTAGTTTTAAAAGCTCTTTAATAAATAAAAGACAATAGCGCTATATTCGAAAATAATAAAATAATTTTTATATATTTTATACGAAATTAAAAGAAGATTAGTAAAATAAACTCCTTTTTATAAATAGGTAATTAGATTGTTAAACTCTTAATAAAAAAGAAAATCTTAAAAATTATTTTTAATTTAAAGCTATAGTTTAAAAACTATTTAGCTAAAGTAAAAACTAAAAAATAGAAAAGCGCTAGTTAATTTAAATACTTCGCTTATATTAAGCTATAATTCGCGCGTTAATTTTATTAAGCTATAATAGCTTTTTAAATAAATTATATAATAGTAATATAATACTCTTAATTTCTTAGCAGAAAAATTAATAATAGTACTATTAAAATTCTTAATTTTATATAATAAATAAAAGCTTAAATAATAGTTAAATACTTTTATATAATTTTAATTAAAACGTTTAGCGTTAAAGCTACGCTTTTTCTTTTATATATTTAGTTTTAATTAAAAATTAGCAAATTCTAAATAAAACTCTATATATTACTAAAAGCTAACTTGCTAAAAATATAGCTTAGAAAAATAATTAAAAAACTTAGTGTAAAATTATTTATTTTCTTTTTTTATAATATAAAAATATAGCTAAATAAGCTAGAAATTAATATTAAGACTATTTCTATATAAATAGCTCTATTATAAAGTATAATAATAATTAATTATAAATTTAATTTATATAGCTCTAATAAAATATATAATAACTACTTTAAAATAAAAAAACAGTATTTAAATATTTTTACTAATAGCTTAATTACTAATAAGCAAATAGGAATTAAAATAAGCATATACTTTAAAAAGCAATACTATTATTTATTCTCTTTTAACTAATTAAATTAAAAGAGAATATTGATAATATAATAATAAAGCTGCTTATAATTAAAAAAGCTATAATTTTAGCTAAACTTTTATTAAAAATACTCTATAATTATAAAAAGCTAATTTTTTAAGTATTTATATAGTTTAATAGCTAAATAACTATTTACAGAGTAAATTGTTAAAAAAAGCTAAAATAAAGCTATTATAATATAAAATATTTTTTATATAGTTAACTACTACGCAGTTCTTAAAAAATAGCTAATTATTTAATAAATTCTAAAGAAATTTACTATTATAAAATATATTAAAATAGACTAATTAGCTAAGTAAGCTATAAGCTTTTTTATCATAAAGGAAAAAGTAAATAAAACAATTCTAAATAATATAAAATAAATCTAAAACACTCTTTAAAACTAAATTCTAATTAAAAAACAATAGAGGCTATAAAATACTAGTAAAAGCCTTTATATAATAATTAGCGCTATTTTTAGAAAATATATTATAATGCTCTATAATAAGCTAAATAAAAAGAGGCATCTATTTTATTATAACTCTATATAAAGCATGTTTAATTGAACTATTTCCTAGTAGTTATTAACATTACAAAATTAGGACAATATAAATATAGTTAAAAAAAAAAAGGAAACTATTAAATATTTTATACTATTTTATTCTAAATATATAAATCAAAAGAAGAAATTAATAGAAACGCTAAATCGCGATTGTAATAATATCTTTTAAATAATTAGAGAATAAAACTCTTATATAGTTATTAAATAATTTTATAAAAACAAACTAGCTAGCGAATAAAAGGCAGATACAGATATTATCTGCGTTATTATTAAATATATAATAGACATTAAAAAATTAGACTTTATAAAAGAGCAAAGAATATAAATAGAAGATATTAAGCAAAGAAAGCAAAGAAATAAAAAAAGAAATAGTAAAAGTAAATCAGTTCGTAAATTAAAAAGCAAATTGAAAGCTAAATTGAGAGCTAAATTTAAAAGTAAAGCAGAAGGCAAGTCGGAAGCTGAATTAGAAGACAAAGCGGGAGGTAAATCAGGAGCCAAATCAGGAGTATAAAAAAAACATATATACTAACTACGGCACTTGCTATAGACTACTTAGACAGAACAAATATATAAGCATCCTAACAGTTTAAGCTGCAGAATGAGACATAGACTCCATAAATATTTATATAAGTAGCAATTAAGTAGATAGTAGCTGCTTATGCTTCCTGTAGTAAGCGTATAGCGTATGAAAAAGTCAATTAATCAATCAATCAATCAAACCCGACGGAGGGGGAGTACTCTAGAAAGATCAATGGCCGGCGTTTTTCGGGGACTGCACGTCGACACTTGCTTGTTTCGCTCTCATCTACCATGGCAACACCTGGTTTTACACATCTCTAGGAAATCCAAGAAAGAAAAAATCAAGAGAGAAAAAACCGTGGTAGTAAGGTATTCCAGGCAAATGAGCGAAAACCCATAAAGGCAAGCAAGGAAAGTAAAAAAAAGACAAGGAAGGAAAGCAACAAAACCGCAAAAGAAAAGAAGAAGCTCTCTGTCGGGGAATCGAACCCCGGTCTCCCGCGCTTGTACTCGGATGAACCCGAATGACAAGCGGAAATCATGACCACTAGACCAACAAAGATGAGCCCGATGGTTGATGGGAAGCCAAAAATCTTGATCAAATATAGGATGTGTTTGACAGCCGATGCTGCCTGAGAGGGCGACCCTGTTCCCATTTTGAGTTCTGGCTCCTCCTCCACGAAATATCCACATACAAACGGACATTCGAACTTACATCTACAAGTCGACTCGACGAGTCGGACTATCCAACTCCCGTCGATTTTAGTCAAAGGAAAGGGTGCCGCCCAACCATCCTAGCAAACCCCGTCGATTTTAGTCAAGGGAAAGGGTGCCGCCTGACCATTCCAGCAACGCCGTTGCCATAGTCATACCAGCGTCGTCCCTAAAGAGACAGAGCGCTGCTATAGCAGTGTAGAGAAGAGCTAGGAACACTAGATAGAATGGAGGGCTAATTCAGCCTATCTGTTCCCTTAATCTAAGCAATAATACTATTTTCGCAAAAGATATGCTAAAGCGTCTTATTAAAGGAGTAGTGAACGCCTAGAATAACAAGCTTAACAAGCTGCTTAAGCAATTCTAGAAGCAGAATAAACTATTCTATATATAGAATGGATTATTCTAGACTTAGAATAAGCAACTCTATTAAAAGAATATTACACTGTTTGCAAAACTTAAGCTTTTATATATTAAATATAAAAAGATTGAAAAAGAACTTAAAATAGTTAAAAGTGATATTAAAGTCCTTAATACTAAAATTAGAACTATTAATACTAATATTAATAATAGTAAAACTGTTTTTTTAAATTTTAAATATTTAAGCCTATTGTTGCTAGCTAACCTTAATATAGCAGCTTTATTATTAATCTTATACGTCTTTATAGCATTAAAGTCTGTCTACCTATTGTTATTAGCTATCTAACCCTATTTAGATAGCAATACGCTATTGACTCTACCTACCTCCTTAGAGAAACTATACTAGCTTCTAGGAACTACAATTAGCCTTAGTTATTTAATAGCTAAATAACGTAAATTAGCTAAAAATAATAAAGTTATAGAGAAAAGAATCTAAGACGCTATTATAGCCTAATTATCTATATATAATATTATTATTAAAAAGATCTAAGTTAAAGCAAGGGCTATAAGAGTTATTATTTAAAATAAAAAAGACGTTGCCTAACTATAATTAAATAATAAATAGGTTTATTAAATATTTAAAATAGCTCGAATTTAAAAAGAGGACCTCTTCCTAATTAAAGTTGATAATATATATAAAATAGTAGTTCTAGTATTTAGTACCTGCAAAATCCAATTAAAATTTATAATAATATTTAGCGTTAAAAACAAATTTATAAATATTATTAAGGCATTCTGGCTTTTTAAAAGAGAGAAACCCATAGAATCTATAATAGTCTACCTTATTATAGTAAAAAATGCCTAAAGAGCTTTTAATAAGCGTATAATTAAAGTTAGTAGTATTATAGCTATAGTTAGCAAATACTAGAAACTTTAGCGCCTCTAGAGATACTATAATTATAATATATATAGCCACTATTAGGCCAGATATAGCTAATTATTAAAGTATAATAAATACGCTAAGAACTACAAAACTAATAAATATAAAGCTTTAGCACTAAAGTGCGTAGTATATAGAGGACTATATATTATAATAGATACTAGGTGCCTAGCCTATTATAATAAGGTTAATAGGATCTAAAGCAGAAGCTAACTTACTAACCAGTCTATTTAAAACAGGGATAAGGAATAGTAGACAGTTACTAGTCAGCGTTCTAGATAAGAAGTCACTATAAGCAATATTTAATAAGAGACACCTATTTCCTATTAGCAAATGTGAATAGATAATCCTTAGTCTAACTCAGTCTTTTTAATAATCAATCTATTAACTAATTTATAGCAATTATAGTTATAAAACTAAGTATTGCTAATATTAATAGTAAACCCTATATTTCTTAACATTAGTACTAGAATACTATAACTTTGTCTATTTAATAAGAAGGATTAGCATATTATACATTCCAGTTATTATTATATATCTATAAAGACATTTCATTTATTTAATTCCCTATATAGTTACTAAATATAATTATAAAAGTTATTACTATTTCAATAAGTCATATTTTTATTATATTAATCTATATCCCTAGCTACAGTTAGCACACTCTTTTTAAGCAGGACTTAAAAAAGGCAATCACTATTAGGCTCACTATATTAAGCAATACTATTTATAAAGCTAAAGTGAAATATAGAGAAAATCTCCCTATTATAGTTAGAAGCAACTTTAATTACTATAACCTAATATAGAGAGAAATCAATGTACTACAATCCTAATATATAGAAGAAAGTAAACTAGTATTCTAGTAGATGCATTAATATAACATCTTTTTAGCTTTATTAAATGGCATTATTATATTTCTAAAAGGATACTTTAGAACTATTATTGACTTTATACTAGTATTTAACGCATTTAAAAACCAGATTACAAAATGCAATATCCATTTTATTTAATATAAGTTAAACTATAAAGCTATAGCATTCTAATTTGAAAAAGTTAGAAATGCTACTATATTAAAAGCAAAATATAACTTTAGAAAAACGGACTAGGATAAAGCTATTAAAGCACTTAAAAATAGAAACTATTAATTATCAATATTAATAATACTACTAAGCTTAATTAAGCAGTTATAAAGATCTAGAACACAGTAAGCTAATATATTTAATACTATAGCCTAGTTATTAAGGAATCCCTATATATAAAAGCATAATAGGATAATAAGCTTATTAAGCTTTATAATAAATATACTTAACAAAATTAGAACAATATATTACAGATTATAAAGCTAGATAAAGAAGAAAGTTGCTATAAAGCTAGATAAGCTAAGCATTAGTTTTATAAAAGCATTTATAACAAAAAGTAACTATATTAAAACAACTTTTTAGCATAAATAGACAATATCTGAAAAGCAGCTAGGTACCTTAACCTATAATTATTAACATTTAGCAACATCCCTATTATAATTATTAGTATTAATAACTAAAAGATAGAGCTTAAAAGCAATAATGCTAAAATAACTGAGCTGCTTTAATGCTTCTTTCTACTAGTTTTAAAGAGCTAGAAAGAGAATGCGCCAAATCCTAATATAAGAAATATAAATAATCTAGATATCTTAATTAAAGAGGTAACTAGAGCAATAGCCAAAATTAGTCTATATAAAGCGCTAGATATAGATAGTATTCTAAACATTATATAGAAACATTTATAATCTATTTTAAACAATTAAGTTATTAATATTTTTAACGCGTTGTATTAATTAGGATACGTATTAACTATATAAAAAGTAGCGCAAATCCTACTATTATAAAAGCTAGAGAAACCTGACTACTAAATAGCAAAAGTATACTGCCCTATCTCTTTCTTAGCTATGCTAAGCAAGTTGATAAAACTAGTATTAATAAGAAGAATATTATACTAAATAGAAACTTTTAACCTCTTTTTAAAAACACAATTTAATACTAAGCTATAAAAAGCATATAACTAAGCGCTACTTCTTTTAATTAAGAAAATCTATAAAGCGTAATAATAAAAGAAAGTTTTCTTTTTTATTAGTTTTAATATAAAAGGAGCGTATAATAGCGTCCCCTAATAAATGCTTACTAGTTAATTATAAGCATAAGGAATACTGGCTTATATAGTAGTATAGGTCAATTCCTTCTATATAGATTAATTTACTATAGTACTTATTAACAGAACAGAATTAAGTTAAGTTACCTTTATAAAGTCCAGTCTTCTATAAGGATCCACACTTTCCCTAATTCTATATATCTTTTTTAACGCTTTTCTAATAAAAAAGAAGATTAATAGGAAATAAAGCAATATAGGGTTTATAAATAACTATATACATTAAGCTGTTTTAAAATTAATTAAAAGAAATATATTAATGCTTAATAATAAGGTAGTCCTAAAGGCCCTCTAATAAGTAAAAAGATAATAGCATTACGTTTAAAAGTAATAAAACAATTCTTATGTATTTTATATAAAATTAAAGGAAGATTAGCGAAAATGACTCTTTATTAAAAATAAGCAATTATATTATTAAGCCCTTAATAAAAGAGAGAATCTTAAAAGTTATTTTCAATTCTGAACTGTAATTTAAGAACTACTTAGCTAAAGTTAAGGCAAGAGGATAGAGAAGCGCTAGCTAGCTTAAACGCTTTGCCTATATTAGCCTATAAGCAGTGTAGCAATTATACTAAGCTATTATGGCTTTAAGAATAGACTATGTAGTAGCAATATAGTATTTCTATTCCCTTAATAGGAAGATTAATAATAACATTGCTAAGATTCTTAATCTTATATAGTAAATAAAAGCTTAACTAGTAGCTAAATGTTTCTATATAACCTTAGTTAAAGCGTTTAATGCAGAAGCATTGCTCTTTCTCCTATATGTCTAACTGCAGCTAAAGATTAGCAAATTTTAGGTAGGACTTTATATATTATTAGAATCTAATTTATTAAAAGCATAGCTTAGAAAAATAATTAAGAAGCTTAAAGCAAAGTTGTTCACCTCTCCTCTCTATAATATAGAAATATAGCTAGGTAAAATGGAAACAAATATTGAAACTGTCCTAGTATAGATAGCCCTATTATAGAGCATAATAACAATTAACTATAAATCTAATTAGTATAGTTCTAAAGAAGCATATAATAACTATTTTAAAATAAAGAAATAATATTTAAATATTTTCACTAACAGCTTTATTACTAATAGACAGATAGGGGTTAGGATAGCAGTATACTTCTAAAAGTCTATACTACTATCTATCCTCTTTTAACAGATTAGAAAAAGAAGCAGTATTAACAGTATAATAATAAAACTAATTGCAATTAAAGAAGCTGTAACTCTATCTAGAATTCTATTAGAAACACTTTATAACTATAGGAGGGCAGTCCTTTTAATGTTAATATAATCTAATAGCTAAATAGCTATTTATATAGTTAATTGCTAAATTAATTAAAATAGAGCTGCTATAATGCAAAACATCCTA